GAGCTCTGCTTGAATGCCTTTTATTTTCAGGTCTGAACAAGATAGAGTACGTCTTGCACCCTGGGTAGAAGCCATGAACCTAGATTTTTGGGACTCTTTCACAAAGCACAGCTGTCCATAGGTGGCTGTGCTTTGAATGAGGATAGAGACCAAGGCCTGTCTTGGGGGCTATATGAGCAGCAGCCCAAAGACATGGTCCCAGTGCTTATCAGTGGGCTCATACACAAAGTGGCCATGGTGGCAGAAAAGGACATGATGCATGGGATCAATAATATGGACTTCTCATCAAGATTGACACTATTACTGTTGCCGGCTGTCCTATTTGCCAATAATAGCCATTAACTCGGGGGTCCCTGATATGGTATAATATCCAGTGGGTACCATCCAATCACCTTGGGACAGGCTGATTACATTGGAGCCCTTCTTTTATGGAGTGGGCAATGATTTTTCTCTTCACTTGCATAGATTCTTATTCCAGATTGCATTTCCTTTCCTGATTACCACCTCTGCCAGCTCTACCAACCATAGATTTGTTGAACACTTTATACACCACCATTGTATCTCATACGACATTGCCTCTATCCAAGGAACTCATATTATCTCAACAGAAGTGCAGCAATGTACTGAGACCAGTTGACTTCACTGGTTTTACCATGTGCCACATCACCTAGAAGAAGTTGGCCTCATAGAACAATGAAATTACCTATTGAAGACGTAGTATGATACCACCTGGCAGAAAACATCCTGTGAGTTTGGGGTACTCTCTTGCAGCGTGTGGTGTATATTCTGAACCAGAACCGATAATCAATATATTCTGCTGTTTCTGCCATAACCAGAGTACATGGGACTAAGAACTAAGGGGTGAAAGTGAGAATGATACCTAATGGCTCACTTGCAAACATTTTTGCATTTTGTTTTCATTCCCACATCTCTGGTTTCTGCTATTTTAGAAGCTTATTATCCAGGAGAGGAATGTTTCAGGGAGCACAACAATGGTTCCACTGAATTGGAAGCTGAGACAGCCACCTCATGCCACCAGACAAACCAACAAAAAGGAATTACCATGTTGGCTAGGGTGATTGATCCTGATCATCACTAAGTACTATATATTAGTACATTATAGGAATGAAGCAGTTTGTTATCACCATAACAAAGAGGGCTACAATGAACACCTTTGTATATATCTCCTTGTGCACAAGGATGAAAGGGTAGACACTTTAAAGTATCAGGGATGCTGCTTGGTGCCTGGTCCCATGCTCATTTCCCACGTGTGCTACAACATAAAAACGATTGCTGTTAGAAGGCGATTCTCCACAGGTCTCTGGTGTTTCTGCATGTCTTGTGACAGATTTTGTCCTTTGTTTCTTACCCAGTAGTCTTGCGTCGTCTTCCAGCATCTATGAAACTGTGGCAGGCTACCTTGCTACTTGCAAGTAGGGTAAAATCTCAGACACTTTATCATTCCTAATAGTTGCAAGCACTAGTTTCAGGAGCTATTAATAAATGGGACAAAAAAAATTGTGGGACGATAGTTCTCTGGTAAAATGAGTTTTGGAAAAGCTGAGACAAAAAGAAAAGAAAAGAAAAGCCGGTTCTTTTCCTGTCCGATCCTTTAATATACTAAAGAGCATTGTGAATTGCTGGTAGTGTGTGTGTGTGTGTGTGTGGGAGGGGGGGTTAATCCAGTCCTGAGTTTTAAGAATTATTTGAATAGGAAAACTTCCCCCCACATTCCCAGGAAATGCCTATTAACACTGGGGGAAAAAAATAGAATACAATTAGAAGAAAACCGTTAGGGAAGTCAGAGTAAAATATACAGTGAAACCTGTGAGAGCTGCAACTTGATGGGACTGCCTTGTTCTTCCGGGTCTCGCAAATTTTCTGCCTTTGACAGTGGCAGTCTTACCACTTTTCTATCACTTGTTTTAGTGGAAAATATTTGAGTTTTCCTTCTCTGACAGGTTTCTGCCTTACACAGATTCTGGCTTTCGCAGATTTTACTGTAGTAAAAATAAGGATGGAAATGCAGTTGAGGGGGTGTCTTGGTCATCTAGTGCTGCTATAACAGAAATACCACAAGTGGATGGCTTTCACAAAGAGAAGTTTATTCTCTCACAGTCTAGTAGGCTACAAGTCCAAATTCAGGGCATCAGCTCCAGGAAAGGGCTTTCTCTCTCTGTCGGCCATCTCATCAATCTTCCCCGGGACTAGGAGCTTCTCCGCGTAGGGACCCCGGGTCCAAAAGACACCCTCTGCTCCTGGCACTGCTTTCTTGGTGGTATGAGGTTCCCAATTCTCTACTTGCTTCCCTTTTATCTCCTGTAAGATAAAAGTTGGTGCAAGCCACACCCCAGGGAAACTCCCTTTACATTGGATCAGGGATGTGACGTTAGTAAGGGTGTTACAATCCCACCCCAATCCTTTTTAACATAAAATTGCAATCACAAAATGGAGGACAACCACACAATACTGGGATCATGGCCCAGCCAAATTGATACACACATTTTTGGGGGGACACAATTCAATCCATGAAATTCCACCCTTTGACCCCCCCAAAATCACATCCTTGCAACATGAAAAACATATTCATCCCATCATATCATAGCAAAAGTCTTAACTCCAAGTCCAAAATCCAAAACTTCCTCTTCATCTGTGAAATCTAGAATACAAGTTATCTGCTTCCTAAAGGTACAATGGCAGAACAGGCACAGCTAGACATTTCCATTACAAATGGGAGAAACTAGAGGAAAAGAAGGGATAACAGGCACCAAGCAAGTCAGCAGAACACATTACATTAGCCCTCGAGGCTTTGAAAATAATCCTCTGTTCTCTGAGACCATTTACACAATGGCCCTGCCCTCCAGACTCTAGGTATTGGCCACACTCTCCAGATTGTGAGTGGAGGCCTCTGGGCCCTGGGCTTCAGCTCCACCTTCCAGGCCCACTGGGACAGCAATTCTGCTCCCTTGGCTTTAGACGCACCATTCTCCCAGTCCATCTGAGTGGTGACTCCACCCTTAGAAACACCAGAGGCCATGGCTCCACTCTTTGAAATCCCTGAGGTCATAGCCATATACCTTTTGAGACTGCGGCAGCTCGGCTTCTTGTGTCCCTAGTCTCTTCAGCTTTTGTTTCCTGGTTTCTTGGCCTCTTGGCTCCTCAGGACTCATGCCCACATCTGCCCTGCTGGGGCAAGTGTTTCAAAGCTCTGTAGCTCCACCGGTAAGTGCCTGGAGGCACCCCACTCTGCCAGGAAGCCTCCTGCACACAGGCACTTAGCTCTCTCACTCTGTGGGTCGGCTCCAGCGCCGTTTTGCACTGGTCTCCCCTGGTTCTGCTGCTGCTGGTTCTCTGCTGATGCTGCTTCTCTATCCATTCACAGTTTCAAAACCGCTTCCACACTGTAGGTATCTGTTAGAGCAGCACCCCACTCTCTTGGTACCAAATTCTGTCTTGATCATCTAGTGCTGCTGTAACAGAAATACCACAAGTAGATGGCTTTAACAAAGAGAAAATTATTTTCTCACAGTCTAGTAGGCTAGAAGTTCAAATTCAGGGTATCAGCTCCAGGGAAGGGCTTTCCCTCTTTGTTGGCCTTCTCATCAATCTTCCCCCAGACTAGGAGCTTCTCTGTGTAGGAACCCTGGGTCCAAAGGACACGCTCTGCTCCCGGCACTGCTTTCTTGGTGGTATGAGGTCCCCTACTCTCTGCTCGCTTCCCTTTCCTTTTATCTCTTGTAAGATAAAAGGTGGTGTAGACCACACCCCAGGGAAACTCCCTTTACATTGGATCAGGGATGTGAGCTTAGTAAGAGTATTACAATTCCAGCCTAATCCTCTTTAACATGAAATTACAATCACAAAATGGAGGATAACCACACAATGCTGGGAATCATGGCCCAGCCAAATTGATATTTTTGGGGGGACATAATTCAATCCATGACAAAGAGGTCGTTTTTGCATCCCTTGTAAACCAGAATGTGGCAGGCTGACATCGATAACAAATGTTACCTGCATGGTCCTTTTGCAGACATGCCCAAAGCAAGCGAGTTAATAGGATTTTGCTCCAGGGCCAGATTTTAGAGCCAGAAAGAGACTTAGACAATGGCCAGTTCTCTCATTTTACACATGAGGCAGTGAGACCCGGTAGGACAAAGGCATTTGCTTAGGGCCACCCAGTTCATCAGTGGCAATGATGGGAATGAAATCTACATGTCCTGAGTCAGTCTTTAATGTTAATCACATAATATTTGTTCTCGTGTTATCCTAATTGATTCATTTATTTCTAACTCAATTTTAAAGTCTCTGAAGGCAACCAGAATTTTGTCCCATCTAAAAGCTCCTGCTAGTGTAATAATCTATTGAAAATCTACCATACATATTCGCTACATTCTTCACACCCAGCACTGTCCAAGACAAGTTTCTGCTAGAATGGAAATGCTCACTATCCATCCAATACGGTAGCCACTGGCCACATGTGGCAATTGAGCACTTGCAATGTGGCTACTGTGACTGAGAAACTGATTCTTAATACCATTTACTTTTATTTAATTAAAATGTACATTTAAGTGGCCACATTTGGCTAGCCACCACCATGTTCACCAGTGCGTGTCTTAATGAATCTGAGGAGGACTTAGCAGCCAAGGTTGGAGTCTGAATTCCAATTATGCCTTTTTGTTGCTGCTTGAGAAGTAGTCACGCTCCTGGTGCAGGCCTGAAGCCCCCACTGACTTCGTCACCAAACATCAAGAAGCATCCCTAAGGGGCAGGCCGGAGTGGGGGGTGCAGGGTGCACACGCCACCATCCCGGTCCCGAGCAAGGGGCGGGGCCTGTGCAGTGAGGCAGAGGCCTTCGATTGGGAGGTCACAGCGCCAGGCTTCGCGTGCGCTCACTGTGTCGCCGTAAGAGGCTGCGCACACGTCACCGCTGGGGATTCTGGGACGCAGGAGCAGTGCGCAGGCGCAGCGAGGAACGCCACAGTTAGGCGGGAATCAGCACCATGCCTGCAGCAAGGCCGACGCGGGGGAGAACTCGCTCTAAGAGTGCAGCACTGCGCGGCGTACGCCCCAGGCTGATTCACTGCGAGGCGGAGGCCGGCAGGGAGAGCCCCGCGACCGCGGCGCACCCAGGAGGTGACACTCCTGGACTAGAGGCGTTGATGGCAGCCACCCCTCGGCCTGGCTGGCAGGCCTCCCTGCGCGGCCTCCGGGCGGAGACGCGCCACTCTCTGGCGAGGATGTGGGCCCATAAGCGCTTCGGGCTACTCATGCTCGGCCTCTGGGCCCTGATGCTGCTGTGCTACTTTCTGAGCCCTGGTGAGTGTTGGGGTGCCGGGCCGGGCGGGAGGCATGGGTGGGGTGATGGGGACGGGGTGACAGACCCCGACGGTGATTCCGCCACTTTAGCCTAGGGGCTAGGGGCCAGGGGCGGGCCTCCCTCCCCGGTGCTCCCTGAGAAGGTCTGCCTTCCCTCACCGCTTCACTCCGTAAGGGCCTTCCCGCCCTCACTTCCCCTCAAAAAGCCAGCCTCTCCACCTCCCCTAAAAAAGGCCTTCCCCCACCTCCCCTCACGAACACCGCTCCCCCTCGCCTCCCCTCACGAACGCCGGCCCCCTCCTCCCCTCAGCTCCCCTCAC